ATGTATAGATAGCCCTGTTTTTACTGAATAAAATAGTATATATTTTAATGTAATTTATTAATAAAAAAATCGAGTAATGAAGTGTCGAAATTACCCTAATTTTCGTGATCTACATTTATAGATCATTGCTGATTGTAGTAATGTCAAAAAAACGAGTATGTATATACTGTGTTAGATATACGAGATAATCAATATCGATGCACGCAATAATATTAAAGAACGATGGAGATGTGCATGGCACAAGAAAAAAAAGGTATGTTCATTCATAATGAAATATTTCTAAATTTGGCTTACAATACAATGGAAGGATTAACATGTAGGAAATATCAAAGAAAATTATGAAATTAAAGGATTTAATATAAAAGATAGCTATGAAAAGATATTCATATAGAAATTAGGAACAAAATTATGAAATTAAAGGATTTAATGTCACTATGATAACATTATGCAGTTAAAAGTGAAGATAAAGATATAGATATAGATATAGACAGTCTAATAAATAAATGTGACAGAATTGCTGTACAGGTGGAGTAGTCTAAATTATTATTAAATAACTAAAAACCCAGCTACAAATGAATACTCAGTAGTGATAACTTATCCAAAAATGGGAGTTTCTTAAAGCAAGACAAGCCATTTAGCCAGCTTAGTCACAAAATGCCATATCTGATCTATAGCACATGATCTGTAATATATGATTGAAAAATACTCGATCAAAATTAATCACATATGTATATCTGTTCACATTCTTTACTTTATAAGTAAAAGCTTTACTAATTGTCATTTACTTCTTTAAATATTAGCTTGTATTCATCTTTCTTTCTAAGATTACTTCTGCTTGCTAAAATAATAATTTTTATTTTGATATAATTTTTATAATTTATAGATCTCTTGAATTTCTTATAGATTTCTTATGCAATATATAATTTATGAATTCTTTTCTATATATCCAATTAATATGGATTATATAATGAATTTTGTGCATTCTCTTTAATATAAATTATGATGATTTGTTTCTATTTAATAATAAAATTATTATTATGTCTAATTCTTTAATTCAATAATACATTTATTCTTTATAATATATTTGTTATCTCTAACTATATTTAAACTTATCTTGCTAATTTTACTTATCATTATGTTAAATTTCTATGAACATTTTTTCAACATAGAAAAAGTATTTGAATTTAATCTGTAAAGAATTTGATATAAAATAAATTTTTATTAATAATATTTGAACTTGAATTAATGAGAATGTATTATCAAATAAAGATAAGTGAAAAACATATATGTATAGATTTTTGAAATTCCAAAAATTGAGTGAATGTCAAATCAGTATCTTTTCTGAAAATCTTTATATATCATGGAAGCGAGATTTTGTAAATTGTGAGACAAGAATAAAAATTATCTGGTTAGCTAATTTTACAAAAATTTGTATCAAAAATTTTAAAGATACTATAATTAATTGTTCTTTATAGACAAATACAAGATATATTTCATGAAATTATCTAAAAAAATTCAAAAAAATAAGCACTCAACACTTACCTTTTCTTCTTTAAGTAATTTTTACAAATTTTTTCAAATCATATCATAATAAATTTAAAACAAAAATCTCTATTTTACATGATCTTATTGGTAGGTGAATTATTTTATTTATTTATATTATTAAATATTTTGTTCTAATTTCTTTTTTTTATTTCTTTCTGTCTTTTTCTCCTTCAAAAATTCTCTTGATTTTATTATTTTTTTATTCTTTATTTCATTCATTACTTTTTCTTTCTCTTTTTCTATAAGATGTATACTATATAATCTCAGAACTTGATAAAAAAAATAATGGCAAAAGAAATTGTTATTAATTTTCATACTAAAAAAATATCTATTATCAATATAAATTCTGAAGTTCTTCTTGCTCCAGATAACATATTCAGTGTTCTGTGGAGCTTTTTTCTTCTCTATTTAGTATTGAATTTTAGTATTGAATTAATATAGTTGTTAAAGTATCTGCAGGTAAGTAAAGTTCATTTTTCACTTAAATATTTCAAATTTTTGTATGAAAGATGTATAGTTGGATGAGAGAATAGATTAATATTAAAATAGAAAAATAAAAGAATCTTCAAATCTGATACAAACTATAAATTCTAAACAATTTACCTGAAATACAATAATCTTTTCATCATATTGAACAATTATCTGAAATAAAATTTTTTCTCTATCTCTTCTTCAAATTGTTATATTGAATGATAACTATTAATAGAGATATTAAATACTAATAAATATAATCAACTCTAACAAATTGACAATTCTATTAGAAAAAAAAATTCATTAAATAAAATTACTATATTTTCTAGAGTCCAGTACTCTCTCTATAATAAACTAATATAAAATTTAAAAATCTAAAATTTGTTATATCCAGAGTTTATTATAAAAAGATTTATTATAGAGAGAGTTGATTGTACTATTAAGTCTATGCTCTTTCAAACTTCTAAATATTTCTCTCTTATTTATACTATATAATATGCAATTTTAATAAAAAAGAAATTAATATTGCAATATTATATAAAACTATACTCTTTCACCTAATTATCAATCAAAAATAAGAATATTTTTGAATCTATATTATGTAAAGAAACAAATGATAAAATAAATAATTCTCTGATTTATAAAACTTATATCAAGATAAAAATTATTATTTTAGTGAGCAAAAATAATTTTAGAAAGGAGAGTAAATGCAAGATAATATTTAAAGAAGTAAATAATAATTAGCAAAGCTTTTACCTACAAAGTAGAGAATGTGAACAGATATATACATATGGTTAATATTTTTTAATTATGTGCTACAGATTATATGCTATAGATCAGATATGGCATTTGGTGGCTAAGCTGACTAAATGGCTTGCCTTGCTTTAAAAAACTTCCAAAATTGAGTAACAATATTATTATTTCTATTAGATTGTTGATCTCTTTATTTTCACTATAGTAGACCATATTTATTTGTAAATCAGTATAGTTTTTGTAATCTTAGAAGGAGTAAGATAACTATTTTTTAAAAGAAGTTGCTAATGCAAGTGAAAGAAAAAAGTGGACATTTTCCTTTCTTCATTAGAAGACTTTTCTTCCTTCGTTGAAAGATTTTTTCTTTTTTCAATGGAAGATTTTTCCTTCCTTCATTGGAAGATTTTTTCTTCCTTCATTGAGAGATTTTTCCTTCCTTTATTGGGAGATTTTTCCTTCCTTCATTGGGAGATTGTTTATCACTATTTCAATATAATATATATACAACCAAGTATGTGTTAAACAATCAACTGCTTTTAAATATAAAAATAGTAATATTAATTAATCTATCTATTTTTTGGATGCAGTGATAAATAATAATTTGCTTAATTGCATCCAGACTAAACGATATGGTGCATAACGTCTAAAGTCATCAAACGTTTGTGTTTTATAAAATGGATAAACTTCTTTACTAAGAAGTAAATACAAAATTTACTCTGTGGATATGCTCAGAAAGGGCCTATTCCATCATATTCACAGATTAAATTTTGCATTTACTTCTTTGTAAACACAAACGTTTGATGAGTTTAGATGTTATACACTATATGCATATTACTTTTTTTGTTTTTCAATCCAATTAAGTTGACCAGACTGTTCTAAAGTACAGTTTTACTGGATTATGCAAAAAATGGCGATAAACTAACTCCAACCATAAAGAATAGTATTTGGAACAAAAATTAAGTTATTTACTTAATATTATCGGTGTATCGTGACTTTCACCCTGGAAGTATACTATATCCCTTGGTGATAAAGCTCAAATTGCTGTTTAAATAAATTGAGCAAGAAATGTGGAGTTCTTCATTATATTAGTACAGAGGTGCTAAATGAAAGTCATGCAAGTATTTATAGTTTTGGGATGTTTATGTATGGGATCATAACAGGTGAACGACCATTCGATGATATAGATTTGTATTGCGACATTTACAACCTAAGTTACCAAATAATGTTCCCTGATGGCATATAAATTTATTATTGAAAAATATTTCAGAAAACAAACCAACTGCAGGAACTTAAAGACTTTATGGACTCTATCATCAATTCCAGACCGTATAATTCAAAAGGTGGAAAGCGAACACTTTACATTTCCGTACTATAGTTCTTTAGAATGAATATTATATCTATCTAAATTTGAAATTCCAAGCACGTACATGTAATAAAAATTGAATGTAATTCTCATTATTTATGTCGAGTACTGTAAATGTTTTAATTTTTGTTCCTTCATAATTGGAATTAATCTTTGCAAAATTGCATATCGAGTATTCGTTCGTGGCTGGATTTTTAGTTACTCCATAATATACTATTATATGTATTGTCAATAGTATCAAACTTTAAAGAGTTCGGGATCTTTTTTTTGTAAATATAATCAATGCGTAAATAAAAACTCTGTCTCCTATTATAAATGAGTAAAAGCAAAATATCATTAGAAAAAAGACAAACATTTCATTTGTTTTTATAAATATTTTTTGTCAATATATACATGTATTATCCATACCTAATTCTGTAATATACATGTATTATTGTTATTATTATTATTATTATACAATGTGAGTACGTACTTATATTACATGTACTTATATACCAAAAATTCATCTACACTTTATAACGATAAGCATATGCAATTCTAACTCGAGAGCCACAAAAATATCAAAATGAATTTTGTTTTGTCGATTTATGCATTAACGTTAATCGTGGAACAACTTTTGTGTTACAATTTCATACCGAATCCTTTGACGATATGTTTCCATTGAAACGTTGTGAAAATCAAATACTCTTTGTGCCGATAAATAATCAGCAAAGAGTATAACATACACACCACAGTCAAAATGATTTGGCTGCTGAGGTGTATTTGGTGCGAGATTTACTATGTCCCATTCAAGGCTGTTATTGAACAGTCCACTTGCTTTTCGATGTTCTTGAACGAATCGAAACAAATTCTATGATTTTAATTAAATTAGATTTATACATGTATTTTGTAAAAAGAATTTTGTAAAAATTTTAGGATTAACTTACTTCTCCGACTTTTTGTCGGTCGATGGAATTAAGGCAAGCCATCGAATCGTACAAAATTATTTTCTTGGTTTTAAGATCAATAACCGCCAACACCCAGTGTTTTCCACGTATTAAGTGAACAGGGATTAATAATTGCTCGAGAGCATATAAATCCGGAATCTATAAGAATATAGATGTTAAAAACATAAATTTTAAAATATTCTAATTATACATGCACTTACATCAACTTTGGGTAACCATTTTAACACCCTATCAAAGTTTCCGTTTGCCACACTCTTTTCTAGAGTGGGGTAAAAGTAAGTGTTGGTCATTTTGATTTCATGTTGCGTATTAACGCTCTTCGTTTTTCTTTTTTCTATTCTTCGATTAATTAGTTTTGCATATAAGCTGATAACCTAATTTAATAAATTAGTTAATATTTTAGCCGAGTAATCTTTTGAAAAAAAAATGCAAATCTTATTGTCACTTACATCTCCACTGACATACATCTTATCATCTAATGTGCTGAGGGAATCCGCCGTTACTAACACGTTTCCTAATTCTGAAATCGGCACATTGTTTTTATTTTTGTTGTCGATAATACCATTCATCTCGGAGTTTTCGTTCTCCGTTAAAAGTGTGTAGAACTGCTGTGCCGATAGAACAACCATAGGGGCTGGAATATCACTGGATGTATTGAATAATTGTCCAAGATTTTCTGCGGTCATTGGAGCGGTCACCGAAGTGGTAACTGGAAGTGATGTCTTTAGCTCTATTATTATATTAAAAAGTTGTTGGTTCTATTTTTATATAAAAAAGTGAATTCCTGGAATAATTTAAAATATATACTTTTTTCATTTTCTCTATTACTATTAATGCTTCTCCAAGTTCTATGTTCAGCATAACCTGACTGTTTTGATTTACTTCGCCCATAGTCTCTATCCATATATTCTTCATATTCTATCCGGGATATTTTAGCAGCTTTTGTTTTATTTGCTCTATATAGTTCAGATTCTCTCTGGGCTATTAGATCAAAGGATATAATATGTGTCAAAATAAACACAGAACTCGAAAATTAAATTAAAAAATATTTACGCGAACTGATACTTCTCTCGGTTCTATGTTCAGCATAGCTCGATTTTTTTGTTTTGTTTTGTCCATATTCTCTATATCGCCCATATTTTTCTCTCCGGGCTATTATATCAAAGGATATATAATGTGTCAAAATAAAACGAAAATTAAAAATTAAATTAAAATCTACTTACACTCTGGTGGTGGATTCTGATGACTGTAATAAATAATATATTTGTAAAATTTACGATGTAATTTTAGTAATTAATAATTGGGTAAAAAACGAAATGCGGACGCAAAGAAGCGTAACGTATTTACTTTGAAATTTTTTGTTTTTCACGAGCTATATGAGACATAACTAAATAAAAGTTATTCGTTTCGTTAAATGTTATAAAATTGTGAATAATGTGCCTTAGACGAGAAAATTATATAAAAAAGCAAAACAAATTATGCACTTCGTGACGCGCGTTATCGATCATAATGCGTGGTATCGATTCAATGCGTCAAGATCATATTTTTGATAAATTAAAATATATTGTCCATGTGAGTAATAACATAATATTCGATAATTTTTATTAAAGAAAAAATACTGTTATTATATTTTTTTACAATTGTATCCTTTTTAGAACGTCATATCTGAAATATTGATTGTTGCAATTGTTGCTAATATCAACTTAATCTTTTAGAATTACCACATTATAAACACAGCTTAAATTCACTCATCACTACATAACGACACAACCTAGAACATTAATTAGAATTATAAAAAATATTTAATATAGTCAGATCTTTGCAAAAGAACTCTATAAAAAAATAAACTTTATAATTTTGAGAATTAAGAACTTAGCATTTATACAGTCAGTGAAAAGTCGTATATACATCATTTTGTAACCAATTCGAATCAAGTAACATGTACAAATAAAATAAAACTCGAGTGATGATCTTTATTTTCGTTATTCCTAATACAGAAAAAAAAACTATTATGTTATTGGCACGAAGGTGAACGTTCTGTGTTAAAACTAAGTAAACTCACAGACCTACCTATCTCAACTGTCCGATACAATGTCAAAAAATTAGAATCAACAGGAACAATTCAGCACAAAGATGGTAATGGACGTCCTAAAAAAATTACGGCACGTATATCAAGAAAGGTGGGTCAATATATTCGTAAAACTACTTCTATGTCCCTACGAAAAATTTCTACTAAACTGAGTACCGAGGAAGTAGACATTTAAAATCGCTTGGATATACGAAAAAATCGACCAACTGCTACACCGATGTTAACAGAAATTCAAAAAAAGAACCGGGTGCAATGGGCCAAACATCATCTTAATGATAACTGGAAAAAAACTTTATTTTCTGATGAAACGGCATTCCAACTATTTCCAAATACAATTAATCATTGGTATAAGGGTAAACGACCAGTCCGTCCAATGCCAAAAAACCGTACAAAAATTTTTGCGTGGGGTGGTTT